ACAGACTTGAGTTTTAAAATGTGAATTATTTCCAAACTTATTTTTGGTACAATTAATTAATTTCCACTGTTCACCGATCACTCTCTGCAGTCGTTTTAGAGCAGCATTAAGTTACTGCCAATGCAAACCAAACATTTCCTACTGCTGCTGATTCACACTAGAAGTGTTCAACTGGTGAACCATAGGGTTGCTTTTATTGTGAAGCACCACAGGAAATGCAATATACTAGAATAGTATAACTGATCACTAAAAGGACTGGCTATCAGTATCAATACTAACACCAGATGATGTGTTTCATCATATCAGTCAGTGTACAGCTCAACAAAAGGTTAACATGTGGAGTACCTCTTTAAGGGCTTCGGAGTAGACCTGAGACACATGAAGAAACGTGAATGTGGGAAGCTTTTTTCTTTTTTGAGGTTCTGCCTGCATGTTTGTCCTTCTGTCTGTCCGCCTTTCTGTCTTATTTGACATGTCTTTGCCGTCTTTTTGTTCCTGTGATCCGTCATATATCTCCTCCCTCAAAGGATCTGTTTATCTGATCTCTAGCCTTTGTTTTCTGGCTGTCTTCCTCCCTCGAAGGCCATCTCCTGGATCTTATCGGACATTGGTGCTCCAGAGGCTCTGTCTGTCTGTTTACCTGTCTGTCCTTAAGTTAATCTCCCTGTTTTCTTATCCGGTATGATGAAACCGGAGGTGTAGGGATTGGAAACGATCAGCCTGTTTGTTCATTTATTTGTTTGCTTGTTTGTCGCTTGCCAGCATTTCTCATTGCACTGATTCAGTTCTGATCAAACATGACTAATAGAACTGCCACATTTTCAAATTTACAGTCGGAGCTCCAGATGTCAGTCTGTCTGTCCTAAGAAGAGAAATCAATCCCCTTGTCTCCGTTTATCTGAGCCTGTGTACCACCCTCCACTCAGACACAAGCAATTTCACCCTGCACCAATCAGATGGATCATTTGTGTAATTAAAAACTGTGAAAAGAGGCTCTGGATGAGAGGCTGGAGGTACGGAAACAGCCCTGAATGTATCCCAAGAGAGCAATCAGACAGAGGAGAAAAGGAGGAGGCGTTAGGAGACAGCAGGAAAACGGATAACGAGGAGTTGGGGCAGAAGACACAGAGAGTGATGGTCACTTTGATAAAGGAATATTTTTGGTTTCGTTGGTTTGTTGCTCTGTGTGTTCTGTATGTTTCGTGTGTTCTGTGTGTTTCGTGTGTTGTACAATCTTAAAGTAATCTGCAGGTTGTTAGATTCTGCGTGCTTGTTGGATGCTTCGCTACCAGGGTGATGCTAAAGTTCTGGTTCTGGTTTCGACTACTAAGTTTCTGGCATTGTGACATCCCTAGTGCTTGCTAGTATCCCACGATTCTATTTGGTGCAGATCCAGGTTTTATTTTTAAAAAAGGTCTCGAAACTATTGTGTTTAGTGACTTTCATAATGCACATGAGCACAACAACATCTTGTTTAGTGTGGTCCTGCTTAAAGGACAATCTACCTAGTTAAATAAAACATTGTAAGGCTGCAGCTAATTGGCACCGGGCGCTGTGCAGTGGCAGTCCACTGCTCCTAGTACAAAGGATGGGTTAAATACATGAGAAATTTCTCTATACATTGTACAGTGTATGACTGTATATGTGGCAATAAAGTTGATTCTATTCTAAATATCATTTTCTTAATTAACTGATCCATCTTTTGATCTATAAAACATTAGAAACGTGTGAAAAATAACAAAAGAATATGTTGTTTACTTCAAACAATAGTCTAAACCCAAATTATATTCAATTTACTATAATGTTAGACCAAGAAATAACACATTTCAGATCACAGTTGAGAACCTGGAACTCTCAAATTTTGGGAAATATTGCTTGACAAATAACTTTTAGTCAGATATTAAAATACAGTGTAGCTGCTGGAAAATGTTCTGTCCGTTGACAAATTGGTCGATTGACAAATCGTTGCAGCTATAAAACACTAAATGAAACACTGTATGAGTCATATGTTTTCATGCTACACATTCAGCGGTCAGCGTTTCTGGAATATCCAGAACGCATAAAAACAGAGTTGATGGTAATTTATCTTCTTCCTTTTCCAGTGATGATGTTTGAGTTGCTGTATGTGTCACTGTACATATCTCTGTTCATCCAAACATTGCATTTCCTTTTGCTGCTAAATCATAAGTGTGGAGTAAAGAATATTTTATTTTATCAAAATGTTGCAGATTATCACTTTAACCGCTGAGTCTTCCTCAGAGCTGATCAGCAGCCAACGGGGCCGTGGTTGTGCTGGAGCTTCTCCCAAGTGTGATTTGTAAATGTGCGAGTGTGAGGTTGGGGCGGAGATGAAAGAGCAGCAATAACACCCACTGAGTAAATAAAGGTTAAAAGATGCAGAAAACGGGGGGACATATGCCTCTCTGTGTGGAAGTGGCTCGGGATGAGAGAATCAGCCACATGCCTTATAGTTGTGAAATGTTATACAACATAGAGAGGGAAAACATGTAGAGGATGAAAGGACGGGAGGAGATGCCGAGGGAGCAGGGAGGAGAGCTGGGGAGGAGAGGGGAAGGAAAGAGAAGATGGGAGGAATCAAGAGTAAAAGAGAGAGAGAGAGAGAGAGAGAGAGAGAGAGAGAGAGAGAGAGAGCTGGGAGATAATGGAGGAGAGGAAGAGGAGAGCTGGAGAAAAGGAGAAAGAGGAAGGAGGAGCGTTAATGAATAATCCATCAGCCAATATAAAAGGTACTTGGAGATTGCTCAGAAGAAGGTAAACATGTTGGTGGAGATGTGCAAAGGGCTGCATCAGCAAAATCAAAGATCAAACACACCCTGAGTTTGGGTCGATGAATAAACAGGACTCTCAATATTCCTAAAACACGCCCTTATCGACCAATGATGTGCCTGCTGTGGCCTAAATGCACTTCCTGACATTTCCTCTATCATCTTTCTACACATGCAGAATCTCTGCTGCTTCTCTGTGTCCTCCAGCCTTTTCCCTTCAAAGATGGATGGGGGGATTGAGGAGGGGAGTTGCATGGCTTCAGAGACAGAGGGATGGAAGGAGGAAGGGTTGGGCTGAAGGCTGGTGCAGGGAAAACAAGGGAAGCCCAGAGAGAGAGAGAGAGAGAGAGAGAGAGAGAGAGAGAGAGAGAGAGAGAGAGAGAGAGGCAGAGAGAGGAAGGAAAAGCCCAGGGAAGCCCCACTGCAGCTTCTGTGCACAGGAGGAGGATCCCTGCCTCTCCTTTTTCTCCATCCTGCATGCTGCAGTCCGGCTCTCATTAAAACTGCTGCCAGACTTCACACTGAATGCATAAACTATTTTACATTTATAATCAAGTGTTGTGCGTCCCTCTGTGTGCAGCAGTTCTGCCTCAAGCTTACAGAGCTGGAATCATGAATTAAAAGATCAGAGATGCCCATACTGAAGACACACACACAATAACAACACTGTCTCTAACACTACTGACCTGTTATTGCAGGATCATATTTACATGCATGTAAATATTATAAATTATTAATATTATTATTATTATTGTTTTCTATCTAAGACTCTGTATCCGCCTTTAAACCGGTTGGGACGCACAGTTACGCAACGTTAACGATCCGTGTCTGCGCCCCCCAGGTCCGCTAAAGCAGCCGTCGCTCGGTCACTTAAAAGGCTGAAATATAACATTGAGTCTGGTGGAGAATGCAGGAGGGGGAGGGAGGGGATGCCGGAATAATGAAATGTGGCCGGGCGACGCTGAGGGGGGGAGAAACAGCATGCACCCACCCCTGACCGGACAGACCACTCCACTGCGTCAAGGTTAACAGAAAAAGACGAGAGCAAATCGGAAAGTGGGCCAAGTGGTTTTCAAGATAAAAGCGTAAAGAGTGGAGACAAACCTTTTTGAATAATTAGGAATCTAGAATCTAGTACATTGTACATATTGTGTCTGATCATACACTCACTGCGCCTTCTGACAAACAGAATGAGGGTGCACCAATGAATCTGTGTTTTACTGACAGGGGTGAGGGTACATGAACGCGCCACCACGATCAAAAACTAACTTTTAAAAGCAAATCTTTTTTTATTTTCTGTTCCCTCCCCAGGATCTGCTCAGCGCTTTATTTTGGAACAGAAGTCGGATGTTGCTTTTCTGCTGACTTGACAGCGATGTGCGGGCAGGAGACACAGTGTCACCAGAGTTACTACAGCATCACACTGTTCCAGCAACAAAGCAACAGACATCTCACAGTCAGAAAACCTGTGATATTCTCTCTCTCTCTCTCTCTCTCTCTCTCTCTCTGCAGCACAGATCACATCTATGTTTTATTAAAGCCACAATCAGAAAATTGCCGGCATGTGATTAACTTCCCCTCTGCATTATTACAGCCAGCTCCAGCACAAATGTCAAGAGTGAGTGTTGTTGATCCTTGAACACAGCAGCACTCCCAGCACTCCCAGCGCTCCCTGCGCTCCCGGGCTGCTCGGACTCCCTCTGGGGCCACGCAGGGCAGTAACGCTCATTAAACTGTGAGGCACTTTGGATGAAAGCGTCGGGCTGGAGGCTTAATGTCCTCTGTATGCAGCTCACAGAATCCCCGCAACATCCTTAGCATTTCACTCACGCTCCTAAACTTTAGTGGGATAAAGGAGACAGAGATGCTTCAGGGGCGGGCGAGGGAACGTGATCCTGATGACACCGAGCGTGGCTTGTATATATATAAAGATAATTAGAAAAGATGATGGCAACTGCCTGTCAGAGCAGGTGTTGTTTGGGCTCGTCGGTTATGACATAAATCACCTTTTTACAGGCTTTAAAGCACCAGCGACACTTCCAGGGAGACACTCTCTGTCAGTAGCAGCTCCACATGGCCGTACAGGGCTACAGTCAGCAGCCAGTGATGCCCGCATGGGGCTTTGCAAGCGCACAGGAGCAAGTGCGCGCAACAAACACGCACAAAGCGCGCCGTACACAAACACAGCAGAACTGTAAAGGAAATGTCTCTTACCTTCTGTTCTACTGCCAGCAGACCGCACACGAAGCGATAAGCATAGTATCTGATGTTAGTGTGAAAGACTGGGAGAGAAAACTGTCCTCGGTACTGCGCTCCGCCGCTCGGTCCCCGCTGCTCGCCTCCCCTCTCTCTCTCTCTCTCTCTCTCTCTCTCTCTCCCTCTCTCTCGCCCCTACACACCAACACGTACAAACTGCACACATACACTCGCGCCCCCCCTCCCTGCGGTCCCTCACACACACACACACACACACACACACACACACACACACACACACACACACACACACACACACACACACACGGGCGGGGTGCCGCGGTTTGTCCTCGGGGGCGCGGAGGGATGGGGAGAAGGGATTTGTGCCTGGAAGAGGAAAGGAAACAAGGTTAGGAGAGGAGAGGACAGGAGAGGAGAGGAGGATTAAAGGAGACATGAAGGACACAAGTCAAGAGGCATGGAAAGGAAAGGAAAAAGGAAACGAGGAGAGGAGAGGAGAGGAGAGGAGAGGAGAAGGAGAAGGATGGAAATAAATGAGACAAAAAAGGAGAAAAGGAAAGCAAAGGGATGGACAAGAGGGAAAGGAAAGAGGACAGTTAGAGACTAGCTGAGGAAAGGAAAGACAGGAATTGAGGTAGAAGAAATTAAGACGAAGAAAAAAGAGGTGAAGGAAAGGAAAGGAGGAGAGAAGAGAAGGTACTAGAGAAGGTGGGAGGTGGAGGGGAGGAATTGGGAGAAATGAATTCATTAAGTTAAAGGAGAAATGGATGTAACAACAAAAGACAAATGGAAAGGAAAAGGAAATAAGGAAGAGAGGAGAGAGATGAGGGAGAGGAGGTTGAAATTTGGGGGAGATAAAGAACAGGGAGGTGACGTGGAGTAAAAAGGAGAAACTGAAGGGAAAGAAGAGGAAGAATATAGACGAGAGGAGAAAAACAAAAGCCAACTGAAAATTGATTAAGCACGACTGTAACAGGATGCTCTGCAGCCAGCGGCTCACATCCTCCACAGTCTTCTCCCATTCTCTAATATTAGACGTCACATTGTACATTAGAATAGCTGACACTCTAATAGCTAAATTTGGACATTAACTCCACACTCCAACATTTCCTCAGCTAACCTGATAAGTGGAGTGGAGGTGCAGGGGGGTGTTCGGGAGCCTGCAGGAGAGAGGAGGAGAGCGGAGAATGAGGCATTTATCAATGTATCGAGGAGGGCCAATTACTTAAGCAGTGGGCGACATGTCAGGCTCTCAATGCCGAGGCCTGCTGACCGAGCAGGCAGGAAATACAGTCAGTCAATCGGACAGGCAGTCTGTCTCTATATAGACACGCTGGGCTAAATCTACCTCCCAGAGTTCATCGAGCGGAGTTTGAGACTACACTGTACACCTCCTCCTCCTCCTCCTCCTCCTCCTCCTCCTCCTCCTCCTCCTCCTCACTGCATCCACTCTCCTGTCTTTGTCTCCTTCCTCAGTCATTTTTGTAATTCTGCTTCAAAGCCAACTTTTATTTCTCATGAAAGTTTCATTGTCTAACTCTAATTCAGCTCTATGTTATCATTTTCAGTTATATCCATAATTTATTTCTTTGTGTGATAAATTCATAAAGACCTGATATAATCTGAGATAACAGACCTGAGATAGTACTGAAATATGCATTTAATAATCTCAGTAGGATCAACATACAGTTAAATATCATACTGTTGAGAAATGTGCGTCCATTTTATAATGCTGTGAATAAGGAGAGGTTCATATCAACATTAGCTGTTACTTAAGGATAACATGCACTGATCAGAAACTCAGTGTAAATAATTTAAACAACAAATATTATTCAATAATCTTAGCTTAATCTGAGACAATTTAATCTTATTCTGCTGGATCTACACTGACGACAGAGTCGCCATTCTCAAATGGGTCGTATTTATTTTACACCTTTCCAAAAACAAAAAGTGCACATTGAGTTTCACAGCAGCTCTTCAGAAAGCTATGGCTGACGTATGGGTAATTATACACTCAATGGTTTTGACTGCTGCAGCTCGGAGGGCAGTGGAAAAGGACAACTTCTGAAGAGTGATCAGGTTGCTTTCCCTGGATTTATCTAGTTTATTTGTATGTTTAGGATATTCTGTTTATTTTTTGTTTTGTTGCATATGCATGTTTAAAGGTCCAGTATGTAGGATTTAGTGGCATCTAGCAGTGAAATTACAGATTGCAACCAACTGAACAGCACTTGCGTCTGTATTTCTACAGCCAGTGTTTGCTGTGTTCTGGGTTACTGTAGAGGTTTGACATGGCTGCCTCCACTGTAGATGACCTGCAGTGTCTGTAGATAAAAATAGCTAAAGTAACAAAAACACAATGATTCCCACATTCAGGTGATTATACACAAATAAAAACATGCTTATGGATATTATATTCAGTTTCTGGCAATAGATCCTCCTCAATATTACACACTGGACCATTAAATTGTGCTCTACACTGTATGGATTTCCTAAAACCCCATTAATGGGCAAGCTGTGAAAATGAGCTCACACTATAAATGCCATATGTATATGTGTAAATATGCCCCTGTCAAAATAAACATTAATACTGGATGCATGTTTCTCCTCCACATTTAATATCAGAGAGGAGAAAAGTCTGGCGGTTAATGCCTTCTCGCAGCTTTCACTAAAAACTATGAAATACAAGAGGAGAGAGAACAGCTGGCTAAAGGACCACAGAGTGACCTCTGTGCTGCACTATAAATCTTACATACACACACATACACATGCCACACACACACACACACACACACGGCTCTGGGTTCTTTAACAGAATCACTGACCTTTGGCTTTAGGGTCAGATAATTAGTGCCTATCTCCAAACAAGATCTACTTCACATACACAAATAATGCACATGCAGACTCACACAGGCACTGCAACACACACAGACACACACACACACACACACACACACACACACACTGTACATCATGGTGAATTATATTATACATACAGTAACAACAGGGTTTGCCTGCAGCAGTGACTCTGATGTATCACATGAGTCCCATCATGTGAGCACTAGGCGATCATACTATTGTGGCGATTATGTAAATGAGCGCAGGCAGTGGTGAGGGATCCCTCTATAAATAACATGTTTATCATTAAATGATATGAAGGCAGCGGAGGAGGGAGGCATAGACTCAGAGAGAAAGTCACGTATAAACAGTGTTCATTTATTTAAGCATCAGATGCAGGGTGATGACAGGCTTTGATGTTTCCGGGGTTTAATGAGTTATTGTACGTTGGCGGAGAAAACCCTTTTGATTTTTTTCTTTATGGTAATAACACTTCCCTTATGCCATTAGATTAGTTTTTAGCTATTTAAGCTTCATTTAACATTTTTACAACACGTCCAACCGAGGGCTGTCCCCTAATAGTCAAGTAAAATTAGTCGACACGTTTTTCATTAGTCGGATATTTGCAGAAAAACAAAAACAGCATTAAATGGGATCGGCGCCTTGTCATTGGGACGAATGTATCAGGGGATTGTTGCAACATAGATCCTTTCTCCTGTAACACAGCACTGCTACATGTGCTAACTGTACTAGCTGCTGTAGGTTGTAGGAGGACAGCGGGCTCAGGACAGTGGGCTCAGGACAGGACCTAACGACACCACTGGCTCCAACCAGGACCATGACTCTGGGAGGGCGAAGACACAGCGGGTTCAGGCATGGAGAGGTTTTTTTTACATTTATAATAACATGTATCAGAAATGTTTGACGACAACTCGACTAATGGCTGGAACAAACACTACTGGGAACTTTATTCGGGGACAGCCCTAGTTCAACCTAAACAATAGAATAGTTTGATTGCCAATGACTCCCAAGGCGACAGATATGACTGTTGAGTATCAGCAACTGGACCTTCGTCTTTATGTGGTTCCAAACTGCCCTAATGATGACCCTAACGCCAGACCTGAGGCTTCAAAATGGTTCTTCACAAACCAACACATGACGTCATGATAGGTTCACACAGTACCACCCTAATCTTCCTCTCATGAGGAGGGGTGATTTGGTATTTTTCACTGTTTCACCTGCCAGATGGTCCCAGACTCTGGAGCTTTGATACGATCTGTGAGGTTTGTGAGTGATTTCTAAGAAAAACAACAACAGGTGTGTGTAATGATTTGAGACAGAACGATCACTATCACATGCAGCGGTGGCTCACACACACACAAACGTCACACTTTCTAGTCACCAGTTTAGACCTGTCTCTTTTTGGTTTACGAATAAGAATTGACTCACTTTCTGTTCCTCTGTTATCTCCGAAACGTGTTCATCTCTGTTCTACATCCCTTTTTTCACAACAAACATTTTGATTCGTAGAAGGAAAAGCACGGATGTTACTTATCACATTACCAATGGCTCTGTTCTATTCAGATGTGCCAGCAAGCCCTGACAGTGTGACAGCACACACACACACAACTGAAGTACCTAAATTGAATTCCGCGATCAGGAACTTCATTATTCACATCTGTGCTTTTCCTACTGCCACAGACCCACTCCCAATCCGGCCCCTACTCCCTCCCCCTACCCACTCTCATTCTGTTTGCACGTTTGATTCATTCCATACCAATTCACCTCAAGTGGGAGTGGGAGTGGGTTATAAAGCCCTCCACCACAGTGTCTGCATCATGCAGGCTTTTGGGTCTGGGATGGAGGACAGGCCGCATACATTCAAACGTGAGAGCCATGCAGTTATTTCCAGACGATAGGGAATATGTTGCCTTACCTCAAACGGACATTAGATAGACTATTTTGTGGAAACATGATGGAATTACTTTGTATTTTGGAATGAACAAGCGATTGTGTTCCAGAGCAAAGAGCGCATTTGTTGCTTTGATTTGACTTGATTGCCTGTGATGTGCACTTTCAGTGACTGTGACAATGAGATTAAGAATGAGATGAAAGAAGCGTGGCAGTGACTTTAGATTTATTCAATTAATCATTTTAGTTTTCACAAGCTTACTATGCCCTGAGTGTAATGAGTGAGTCATGTCAATGCTGTGTTTAAGATTCTTAAAAAAGAAATATATCTTTTCTTAAAAATTTTGGTTAACAGGTTTATCATTAAGGAACTCACGTGAGAATTATATTAAAGGCCAGTGTGGAACATTTCTATTGGCTATATAATATAAAATTCATAGGTATGTTTTCATTGTGTTTTTGTTACCTTAGAATGAGCTGTTTTTTTATCTACACAGGGATTGGTTTGCGATGTTGAATTGGAACGTTTCTACAGTACCCCAGAACGGACAAACCAAACACTGGTTATAGACAGAGCCTGTCACGTTTTTC